GCTAGAAAAGAGTTCCACAAAAAAAAAGGAGAGAAGGATTCACGGTACTTGTTTGTGACAATGCCAACAAACTCGGGGATGAAGAGATTCCCCCTCACCAACTATTTGAATAGCAGTGACAATCCTCCCTGTAATTTGGGGCTTATCTTCCTCATCTGGCCCTTCAGTAATTTTCCATATATAAACACGCCCATCGACACTTGCACTGAAAAAACGGCAAAGTTAGATAGATCACTTACATAAAACCTGATATGAATAAAAGAGAATAGCACTACCTAGCCAAAAGGTGAACATCCTCAGCAAAGAAAGCCATGTCTGTGACCCTCTGAAAGAAAAATTCATGACTTAGATTAATACAATAATGCTGTACTCCAAAAGAAGGGTTAAAACATATGATAAAGTTCCAATTACTATAGTTTTACAAAATACAGATCTTTTGCCTTCCTAAACCAAACAAGACAATTTTACTAATCTTTATTTACAAAAAAAGCCTAGTCTGTAATGGTTTTATACATTATCACCACCAGTAAAATTGTACTCGGTAGTCAGTTCAAGAATCCAAAATAAGCACATGCCACGAAGTCAAGACCAAAGAGTAGTAGCACCTCTAAACATGTAGATATGGTCCCTTTTCTAAAAACAACAAGAGGAAGATGGCATTTACTTGAAAGTACAACAAAAACACACCCAGTATGAAGTTTATTTCACAGCCATGTCTAGAGAACCAAGCATATGTTGCATACTGCTGCATGATATGTGACAGCAGAGTATGACAACAAAGTGTGAAATCAAATGCCACAAATTTTAAAAATAAGCTATATATATCCATGCATGTTTCAATTACACATGCACCTAGGATATAAGTGGAAAAGTGAATATCATGACTTCAATGGACAGTACCAAAAATTAGATCTTCTCCATTAAACCCCTCTACTTTGGGAAATCCCACAAAATTTGATGACTTTTCATCCTCCGGCCCTATCCACCAAATATTCAGCTTGACAAGACAATTGTTACAAGCGCATCATAATTGAGAAATACTTGCTAGAACCTGGTCTATGCATAAGTGCATAAAATATGTCTTTTCTACAAAACTTAACACTTGAACAACGGATAATTAATATGACTTAAATAACAAAAATAAGTTAACTAATATATCGTCTTACCTCAATTTATGACTTAATCATGGTAACGTGATTTGGTGCATGGCAAGTTATTTCTGAATCGAATAGGAGTGCAGTACAATCTCTACAATTATACCATCACTAGTATTTTTTGCATACCAACTAGCACAAGTATTTATTATGTTCATAAACAGTTCACATAACAAAAGAGTATGAAATTCACATCTAATGTATCTAGGTACATCAACGAAAAGATCCATAGATTAACAGAACCATTGCACCAAAAATTATAAGCTTGAGGAAAAGGCCAACCTGTGCAAGACCTTTAAGCAATGACCTCAACGCGGTGTTAATGTTAAGCACACGAATAGCTCCCAATTTGAGCCCATAACATATATAGCTTTTGTTAACTGCAATTTGCCTGCCTAAAACAAGTCCCGGATCCGAACCATACTTGGTAATGGGAGTAACCTCCAGCTGAGGCTGCACTTCACCAGGCAACCTATCATCTATATCATAAACAACATGATCCCCATTCAAATGTCTCCCTTTAGGTAACTTCCTACTCGGCATTCGCAACGGGCTACTCCCTGAATGTGCAATACCAACATTTGGTGAAGCAGAAAAATCAGAAAGCTCAGACCCAGAAGTTGTAGGCTGTAAAGGAGGAAGTTGCACAGTGGGTTGCTGAAGAACTTCATGAGTTGAAGATGGCGGACTTAACAAAGCCATAAGTCGAGCCCCAGGGTTAGGATTCGGGTTATTTCCAGGATTCAAGAACTGGTGAGGACTAGTAGGGGTTGGTGGTGGTTGAAGTGGTGGAGCAGGGAAAGACATAGATCTTTGCGGATGCATATGTCCATCATGTTGAGGTTGATGGTTGTTATACTGTAGAGGAATATTGTGATTGAATTGAGGAATAAGGTGAAAAGGGGTTGTCTGGGTTGGGTAGTAAAGTCCTCCGGCACTTCCTCCTGTACCACCACCGGCGCCGCCGGCACTAGCCGGAGGATAAGAAGCTGAAGCAAGCGGAAATGGTGAAGGTATCAAATTCGGGTTAATGGGGTTCTGGGTATTCGGGTTTGTTGAAACCAGAGTTGAAGGCTTGAAGAAAGTATGCATATCAGACGGTGTTCCACCGGACTGGTTTGGATTTCCGGCGGAAGCCATAAATACCTCGAATAATACTACAAAAATACAATATTCAGGGAATCAATTAACGAGTATATGAAGAGAGATTTGATGAAGAAGATGATTATATGAAGGATTTGGAGACAGAGATCGGATTAAGTGCAAGATTGAGTAGTGTGACTGTGTTGAGAGTGAGTGATGAATAGATTGGGACCTTTTGGGGGGAGTAATGCTATTATGGGAAGAAGATGGATCAGAAAAATATTATTTTATTAAATTGGGGATCTAAGGATAAATTATTGTTTTTATCTCATGTCACGAGTGGATCGTTTGATAGCTAATTAGGATTATGCATGTATTATCATTTATCTTTTATTATAAATAAAATACTATATAGAGTCTCTCATAACGTATACATGTATTGGATTATATAACTCTCATCAAATCCAAATCAGCTATCAAGTACTCTGAGATTATCTTCTTTTTCGTTTTTATTTTTTCCTTAAAATATAAAATGTCATGCAATTAAGAATAGTGTGTGAAGAATTATAATTTTCATCGTCATGTGCAAATCGAAAAAACGTTAATCAAAAGTAAAAAGCATTTACATTTAAAATTTGAGGAAAATAGTGTGTGATGATAATCGTTAAAGGTTTGCACAAGGAGACTAATTGGGGAAAAGGGTAGGTGTTGTTATATTTCGAACTTACATTTTGGGTGAGATCGATAGCTAATGTTATTCTTGATCCTATATATATAATATGGCATGTAACATTGAACATACATTAATTTTAAGATGAGCGAAAAACATGATTTTAAGTGTATTTGAGGAAAATAAGTTTCGTAAAAAAAATATTTTCATATTTCATTACATTAAAAAAATTCATAAGATGACATGAATGTCAATACCAAAATACATGTCATAACAACATGCTAACAGTTAATCGACGTCTGAAACATAACTTAAAATTGTATGTCGGGACAAGGCCTATGACATACATTAAACTGAACATACTAATTATAAAGTTCTATTTGTTTGCATTAATAATATCTTAATCTTTACTATTCATATTTATATCATTAAGTTTATTTCAGATTTATATCATTAAGATTATTGTTTTAAAGATATGAATCTTAATCGTTCAGATGTTACTCAATTAGTGTGTTTATTTTTCTTATGTAATAGCTTTTTAATGGATCTGAATGATTGCGATTTGTAACAAGGTCTTCATATCATTAAGATGCTTATTTAAGATTCTTTTTACAGAGTTGACAATGTATTGATGCTCCATTTACTTTTACTCGTCACCCAAAGTTACTGTTTCAACTATTACTATCATCACTTACAATTCATAACCGTCATTTTCAGTCTAACCACTACGACCACTTTCGTCAATCACCAAAATCAATCGTTATCAGCATTAGAAATCATTTGCAATAACATCACCAACCACTATTATAACCACTAATATTTATCGATAATTTTGTCATTAGTCAATGTTATTCCACTTAATAAATATTCTCAATCACTAACCATCACGATTAATCACTACTATCAGTGAAATGTAAGCTACTACCCATAACAATCATTAATGGTCAATATGATCTCAAATTAATCTCAATCGTTATCGTTAGTCACCATCCTCAATTGTCATATAATTTTCTTTAAATACTTTATTAATATAATAATAATATTATTATCATTATTATTATTATTGCCCCAATTTATAAGATTCTTTTTTTGTCATGCAAAAAAATGCATTCCTAATTTCCTATATTTAGTAAAATTTAAAATTTTGAAATGTTATCTATTATAGAAGAATTTATAGCCACACAAATATTTATTACTTATTTTAGACTTAAATTTTAAAAGTCTTTGTATTTTTTTTTAACTCCATATGAAGTCAAATTACATCATACAAATTTAAAATAGAGAAACTATCAGTTTAGTATTTTATTTGAATATTACATTTTTAAATACATTCAAATGTTAAGAAAATAAATAATCATTTAGATCTTAAAGCAATATCGTAATATTTAGTATATTCAGATTCGAACCTCTAAATCTTGATGTCTATCATACTATTTTAATATGCATTTAAATTCACATGATTTAATTTTAATGGAAATATAGTAATTTGCAATGACTGATACGATTCGCATCTCACGAAATGTGAATCGCATGAGCTCATTGCATCCATCACGGATCATTGTCAATAAGTTTCTAGCATCCATTTGAGGTATACTATCTGAATTACATGTGATATGATCGCATGAACATGCACAAATTTATAATAGAACGTTCGACACAAATCGTTGTTAATGTAACATGCATATGTAAGGTGCAATTAGATCTCCTGGCATTTTACAGTACAACTCATTTTCAATGCGATATTTTAAGCATCGAACAATCTAACTCATAGTCTAAAAATACGAGGTATTATAAACGCGTGATAGAGAAAAACTGAACATGCAATGAAAACCTGAGATCTTTTGGGTTTGACACTTAAACTACTTTTTAAAGTGCTTATATTTGAATAATAAATGGAACAATTTAAAAAAAGGTCGAGTAATTGATTTTCACCAATCACTCCATGTATTTATTCTTTTTAATAGAGAATTTTTATATATAATATCATTACGATTTCTTGTCCAGAAATTACTTATTAATTAATGATATGATCGATCATATGCTTATAATTATTTTGATTTTATTGGATTTTTGCTTATTTTTCATTAAAATAATTAAATCAAAATGAGTTATATTAACAGTAGTACTGTACTAGGTCACAAACACTCTATCTTCCGCCGTTTTTAAACTCTTCCGCCGTTAACCACCGTGTAACACCACCATTGTCGCCGCAGCTACACCTTAGCTCCTCTAGTGAACAGATCTTTGTTCAGTTTTCCGGTCTGCTTCCGAGACGCGATAATGGAGGTTTATTGAGTCGCGAGGCTCTGCTGTTTCTAATCATGTTATTGCTAAGAAATTTGAAGCCTTTTTTCAGGCGGAAAAGCCACTACAGCTTCGGTATTCTCTCTAGAGAAACTACTTTACCGGACCAAATCACTTCAGAATTCCACGAAACCTGCTGCCGCAGAACTTTTTGGAGCTCTACTTCAAGCTGCAATGAGATGATTGGATTATCATCAAGTAATTCTCAAAATCCTTACTTCTTTCATAATGTTGCTGAATTCTGCACTTTGTTAGGTCAGGAGAAGGCAGATGAATTGTTAGATAATGCTGCTGCTAATAGTAGTGATAGAGGAAAGGAAACGAAGTATACTACTAGAGAGATGGTTGATTTTACACAGATTCATATTAACAAGCTGCCAAGGGTTTTAATCATGGGACGCCCTAATGTAGGGAAATCAGCATTGTTTAACCGATTGATACGAAGGAGGGAGGCGCTTGTGTACAACACTCCTACTGATCATGTTACTCGGGATATACGAGAAGGTGTTGCAAAATTGGGGAATTTGAGGTTTAAGGTGTTGGATTCTGCTGGTATAGAAGCAGAGGCTTCTTCTGGTTCTGTTCTTAGTAGAACTGCAGAAATGACAGGAAATGTGTTGTCAAAAACTCAATTAGCACTCTTGTTAGTTGATGCAAGAGATGGAGTGTTGCCTATGGATTTGGATGTTGGAAAATGGTTGAGGAAGAATGCACCTGGAATGAAAACTATTGTGGTGATGAATAAAGCTGAATCACTGGATGATTGTGATGGTACACTTGCATCTGCTGCTGGTGAGGCTTATAGATTAGGATTTGGCGATCCCATTGCTTTATCTGCTGAGACTGGACTTGGAATGGCTGAACTTCATGAGACGCTTAGACCATTACTTGAAGAATATGTGCTCCAAAACAACTTATGTGCTGATGAGGAGGTACAGGATAATGACTCCTCCTCTGAAGATATGGAGTGTAAATTGCCATTGCAGTTGGCAATTGTTGGGCGGCCCAATGTTGGAAAGTCAACCTTGTTGAACACAATCTTGCAAGAAGATCGTGTTTTAGTTGGCCCTGAGGCTGGTTTGACTAGAGATTCCATCCGCGCTGAATTTCAGTACGAAGGAAGAACCATTTATTTGGTTGACACAGCAGGCTGGTTGGAGAGGACAAAACAACAGGAGAAGGGCCCTGCATCTTTAAGTATAATGCAATCAAGGAAACACCTTATGAGAGCACATGTAATTGTTTTGGTCCTCGATGCAGAAGAGATTGCAAACACTAGGCGAAGCATGAAGCATGTTGAAGTAGTTATAGCAAGGCGAGCGGTTGAGGAAGGACGTGGTCTTGTTGTGATTGTAAATAAGATGGATCTTCTAAGAGGGAAAGAAAATTACAAATTGTACAAGAGCGTAACTGAAGCTGTGCCCCAAGAAATTCAGACTGTTATTCCCCAGGTCACAGGGATACCTGTTGTATTTGTTTCAGCTCTAGAAGGAAAGAGCCAGATAGCTGTAATGAATCAGGTCATTGAAACATATGAAAAGTGGTGTTTGAGATTGCCAACAGCTCGTCTTAACCGCTGGCTATGTAAGGTAATGAGCAGACATTCTTGGAAAGATCAGGCAGCTCAACCCAAAATCAAGTATTTCACTCAGGTGAAAGCTAGACCTCCAACTTTTATTGCATTTATGAGTGGAAAAACCCAGCTCTCAGATACAGATTTGAGGTTCCTAACTAGATCTTTGAAGGAAGACTTTGACTTGGGTGGAATACCAGTCCGTATATTGCAACGAACTGTTGAAGGAAATAGTAGAACTAGTACCAGCAGCAAGAACAAGCAATCAGCTAATAGAATGATGGAAAGGGTTGTTTCAGACAAAAGAACAATCCTTGCTGTAGAAAACAACAGCACTACTTGAATTATCCAAAATTTAGCTTATCGTACGTGGTCATAGTTCAATTCAGAAAAAGATAGAAAGAGTAATTTTTGGTCTTTGGGAAGGCTTATATCCACTTTGGATTGGGTGCCTGGCATAGGGCTTTTGACTTACCTTGTAAACTCCCTCTGCCATTTTCTTAAGTCTTTTCTCCATTGTATCCTATCATAGACGATAGCCCTCTTTAAATTTATGCTTTATGTGAATATGTCAAGGAAGTTATGTTTTCTTTTTTATTTAATTAATATAGGGTGAAAATCATTTTATCTCTTCTACATGACTGAGTCTTTCAATGCTTTTGTGGTAAAAGCTAGAGAGAAATTGTTCTAAATTATTGGAGTAGATTAGAAGAAAAACTACGAGCAGATTTTAACAGAGGTATGAAATAGCTTCTGGTTTGCACACTCTGAATCCACCAAAAGTAAGACAAAGAGTTACTCAAAATCAGGGGGAGGGAATCCTTCGGGGTGGCCCAGTGGTTTGAGCTTGAAACTTCCATGTTGGAGGTCTCAAGTTCGAAAACCCCTGTCAGCAAAAGCAAGGGGTTCTGGGTCGAGCTCGTTGGACCATGCTTGCCTTGTGTGGGTTACCTCGCCTATGTGGTTTGTGAGCTATTGCATAGGAGCGGGGTTTTACCCTGTGCACAAACTCATATTAGAGAGGATCCTACCAAATTTGTTCATCCTCTACTCAATGAAGACTGCTATGTGAAGACTTATTCTAGAAAGATCAATCCAATACTGGAAGAGAGCAATGGCCAGTTGTAGATCACACTGTTGTGCACCCTAATAAGGAAATGGAGGAGAGGTCGAAAACCAATTACATGGAGAAGAGAATTAGATGAACAACCAGCCAAAAAGAGAGCAATTCATTGCACTTGCAAAATATGCCATCAAATTGGGCATAGTAGTGGGAAGAAAACATCAAGTAAAAACGCACTTCTGCTCATTGCAACGTTGCATACCTTGATCCACTGCTGTATGGTTAATGTTTGCTGCTGCAGTTTGAGCAGCAAACAGTTTTCTTTGAATCCCCATCGGACTTTAGTCCTTCCTTCCTATGTATAGTCAATCAGCACTGTGAGTTTTTACTTACTGTGTCACTCTTTGGTTTTGTTAGGCATATCAGTACTTTTCATGTTATGTTACATAATACGTTCTCATCTAGACAAAGTTGAATCAGCATACAGATTTCTGATCGGTTCTTTTAGTGTCATCTGGAATGAAACATGAGTTTCCAATTATCAGAGTGCCTCATGTTTGGAGTTGTAAAACTGTGCATGATTTTGCTTAGAAGAAACAGTGTTTGGATTCTGTTTTGTGCTACTGTCAAGCCTCGTTTCTAAGAGGTGATCCGAATATATGTGCTCGACAACAATCATTGACTCAATATCGTTTGTCTGGATATTTTGCATCTGCTATAGAAAAATGCTGATAACAGGCATTTTGGCCATTGAAAAGGCAATTCATTCCATTCTTGAAGGAAATGTTTAAGTAAACATTTGTGATCCTTCATATTACTTATTATTATCCAATGGATTACATTAATAAGCTTTTTTATTTTTGATGGTAAGTTATATACAGTATATAAATATGGTAAATATTGTACCACTATATTATTGGTCAATTTTAACATGTGAAAATAGTCCAATTATATCTAATAAATGATATAAGTTTTTAAAATATTTTCTTAGGTAATAGGTTCATCCTTCTACTCCTTTTCAACCATAGACTCTTTTTCTCCCTTCCATGGACTTCTAACTACTTCTCCTATTTCTCAACTATATATATTCACACCTTTCCACCATTCAAACTGATAACACCTTTGGCATAACAGCCAGACAGCATATCTTGATCCTTAGAACAAACAAAAAGAAAGTAAAAAAATTAAATTTTTTTTCGAAAAAAAAAATAGGGTCCAGATGTGTCTACTGTTATCTGGTAGGGTTTGCCTGTTCTGCATATGTTTATTTGTAGTGGTGGTTACAATTGGTATGTTGTTTGGATTTGGAGTTTTCAAAGATGGATATCACAAATTGAAACACACAGTTCATGTTGATGAAGGAAGGCCCTTCATGGGTTACCATTCTACTCCACCATATTATTAGCAACATTTAATTTTATTTTCTTTGTTTGTTTTTTGAACAAAGATTAATTGACATAACATTGTTTTTATCAATGTGTAAGAAATATGTTGTTAATTTGATAATGTAAGGTGTTATATACACTTGGAAAGTTATGTGATTAACAATTTTAATGTTTGGTTGATTGATTTGCACTTGCTAGGTGAGTTCTTGGAGTGCTTTATAATTGTTTTATCTATTGTAGTTGATATAGAAATAGCCCCAAAAATTAGGCAAGTGTTAGCAATTAACAATAGCCCATCTGAAATTCATCAATACTGACTAAACCAGCTGTGTTATAGTTGGCCTAAATCACAAGGGCTAAGTTACTTGACTGAAGGGGACAAGTTGCCAAAGCGTAGCTGAGTGATAAGCATAGGAGGCGTACTCAAAAGGCAACAACAACAATGTGGTTTTACATTGACAGATCTACAGAGTAAGGGTGGGTGCTTCGAATGCCTCGTATCAAGTGAGAGGATGGGGTTTCTCTTGCATAGGCATAGTAGGGTTCAAACCTACAATATCACCGTTATGAACAGTACGTTTCAACTAAATAAACTATCTTCCTCTTCCCATGAATTTTTTTTTCGGGGAGGGGGGGGGGGGGTTTCTAATGTCATTCTTAACAAAGTTCCAATAGATCAGCCAACAAAGAAGAAGGGAGAAAGAAACATTTTTTTTTAGAATAACTCAACAAAGTTTCATTAGATGTACAATTTCCTCGAGCAGTTACACTATAAACTGTCAAGATATAAAATATGGTAATAACACAATCAAACAAAATTTTGTTAGATGTACATATGTGTATGGTAATCTCCCAGAAAAATAAAGGGCTTAAAGATTGCCTAAACAAATCCATTTGGTCTCTCACCACTTCTGGCAGATCTCTTCTGTAGATCTGCGTCGTAATGGGCAAAGGCAGCATCCAAAGCCTGCGGAGAAAACGTATATTTCCATAAGATTCAAAATTAATAGAAGAACTCCAACAGTAAGCACTTTAGAGAACATAAAATGTCTGTGTAACATGGTTTGAGAACTAGGCAGGACCACGAATATTCATGTAACTTTCCTGCTGCTAGAGAATTCTCGAACTCTAGTATTAACGTCGTGAAGTTAGAAGTTTACCTGAAGCATTGGCTGTACAAGAAGGGAAACTTGGTGTCTGACATCTGATTGCACAGATTCCTTGATCTCCTGAACATCAACAGAAAATTTCAGAACTTAACTCATAAAAAAAACTTCATTTCCCCTGTGCATCTGCCCTACCACAAAGAATTTCCAACCAGCAAGCACCTGGTTTGGTTTCCGATGTCTTCTATTATTTTACTTCATTGTTCACCCTTAGACCCAAACTTGATTTGTTCTTAGTAATTTAAATTTTCCTGTTATTACTACGTCAATCTTCTCTCAAAATAAAAAAGAAACGAGAGATCATCAATACCTTGATGAAATGGTTTCCTAAGAACTTCAAAAGAAAAAGAAGTCGTATTCAAAGATCTATGTAGTGTTTAACTAAAATGTCCAAACTGTTGATGTTTTCTTATTGTTACAAATGACATTGTTCTATCATGAATTATTTTGCTTCCCAAATCACCCTAAACATTGTATTTATACCAAACCAAGCTTAGTCTAAATACCACTGTTGATTTGTCTTCTGCTCCACATATTCACAAATTTGTACCCAAAGATGAAATTGAAAATAGTCGCACAACAAATTCCAACACAGGCCATGCTTTGTTTGGTGCATTACAGAGTTAAAAGGAAAAAAGGGAAGAAAGTAAAGACTCTGCAATGAAAGTGTAAAAGGGGAAAGGTCCACAAGTGCATATTTATCCATTTCTAAAAGATCAATACCTGCAACTTGGGATATATCTGAGACATTGCATCCTTTAACCTAGTCACCTATCAAATGATGAGGATTAGAAACACTTAAGGGATGATTGATTCAATATAAGAAGGAAAAAACAATGAAAAATTTACAAAAATGTCATGTTATCACAAGATCAAATTAAATTCAGATAGTATGTGCATAGTTAATACATAAGATGCACCCAAAATTTGGAAATACCAGACTATTAAAATAAGTAAAACTGCATAAACACTAAATCTTTCTTTCGGACCATACAACATAATTTTGCTGGTGATAATACAATTTTTACCCTTATATAAAGCCAATACAACATTGATATTCAAAATATTACCTTGGCGTAGAAATATTTTGTCGTTATCGGATAAGATGACCAGAAGTGCTTCAATAATTCCTGAATTGATGTCCAATGCTAGAAGTACAAAGAAAATCATCATTTGTCATTGTTAACAGAGTTTAAGAGCTGTAATGAAGTCCGGACAAAGATTTTAGATTCAGAATAAACAAAATCACCCTGTAAAACAACTCACAAGTAATAGCTCATTTTTAGTTGCACTAGGCAACTGATCTAACACACTCTCATGGGGATTCTTTCCCAGATGATATTTTGTACTTGAGATATTCTGACTTAGCAAGTTGAAAACCTGTAATCAATGATTTATAGTTCAACTTCTCCATAACAATATGATATTATTGGATGAAAATATCCTACTTCAAAAAAAAAGTAAAAATACCTTGAGAGCTACTTCAGGACTAATTATTGGTTCAATCAAACCTTGAGAATTTATCTCAGAAATGGAGTCCTTCAAGGAGCAAAAGGCTTCTTCTTTGCTCACACGAAATTTCAACTGTCTTATCCCTGTTTCAGCATCTCCCAAAGCCTTTATTGCATTTGCTTGCTGAGAATCAAAGTAGTCTCGGGGATCCTGATTTAAGAAAAAAATTATATATCTAATGAAAATCATGGTTGATGTGAGCAGAAGAAAAGCAGAACTGATGAACGCCACACCTTGATACTTAGCAATGCAACTGGTGGGTCTCGAGGTCCCTGAAGATCCTCAATCTCAGCTACTCGAGAAACTTTTTTTACGCGTTCTCTATATGCATTCTCATCAGACACTTCAGTAGCTTGTTCAGCTGCTCCACCAAATGCAATGAGTTGTATAAGCTTTTTCCGGGCTTGGAACAAGAATGAGATAAATGGACAACTGTATGAGTAGTAAATGCATTTTACCCTGATTTGTCCTGGTGAAAGCTTCAGCAACAGATCTTGTGTCACCCAGCTCAACATCTTCCCGGATTGATGAGACAATAAGAAGGAAAAATATCAAGTGATCAAGTCAAATATGAAACAAAACCAACTCAAACAAAGGCAGCCAGAACCACTAATACATCATGAAAGGTTCTCCTAACCCGTCTCCCTCTCCCAACCCTAAGCAATAGACATCAAAGACATCCATCCACATAGAAAAACATTAATAATGCATAACAAAGAATCGGTAGTGTACATACAAAATTCATTATCATTTTGCACAAAGGTGCCGTCAATAGAGACAATTTCAGTCTGCTTCACAATTTGTCTCAGATGAGAAAGAAATTTAAAGGAACTTAGTCAGTTACAGTGGAATGGTGCTATTGATAGAGCTTGTTAAGAGACACTTACCTATAACTCTTCCTTGAAGAACCACTGCTGCATGCTGATTGAGGTATTGTGAGAAAGACCTTTTGAATGGTTCATACTGTGGTTCTAGAATCTCCTTAGTTTCACCCTGAGGTAGTCCATGATCCTATATTTACCATGACATATAAAAAATAGGTTAGCTCCAATTCTCTTTTACGGGGTTAGATCAATGAATGTACAAGAACAGCAGGTCCTATCGAAAATAAATGATTAAATTGCATTGCAGAATAAAGCTTCGCTGAAGTACCGGGAGATGCATATAATCATCACCTTCATCTGCTTCCATGTCCAGAGTTGGATCCACTCTTCTGATCTGAAAAGAACAAAAAATGTAAAGACTTCTGGAAGTTCTTCTCCTTCCATCCCCTCTCAAGGGAAGACGGAGAGAGAGAGAGAGAGAGAGAGAGAAGAGGGAAACCAGAATACTCCGTGGAAGTTCTTTTAGGATGGAATTTGTTAGAAAACAATGAAAAAGTAAATATCTGGTGGAATACCT